TTTCCCCCCAAAATTTGTACCCCCAGGGCATGTACCTCCAAAGTCAGAGTTTTTCTGAACTGTACATCCCAAAAGGTACTTGTGTACCAAGTTTCAGATTTCTAACCCTTCTAGAACGTGGCTAGAATTAGCGTCAGTAGTCAGTCACGATCGTCTATATATATTAGATGGGAAAGAGCATATATGTGCCCCCTTTCCAGAAGTATTCTTTCATCTTCAATATGCCTTTACCCATGTCTTATCTATTTCAAATTCATGTTTTACCATTTCCCTCTTTTAGTTTTGTTTTGCATTCTTTAACAATAGCGGTTTCACTTACACATACGATAGTGACCGACTGATTTCATTTGAATTTAACCCCTTGACCACGGGATTGACTGAGCCAGCCCAGCATCCCAAAGGTATTATTCCAGCCTCAGCCAGGCGTTAAGTCCCACAAAGTAAATACACATCATCCGTATTGAAGGGGTTAAGAGTCACAAAAGCCTCGCAAAGTATGTTGGAGAGTCCTTATTGCTCTTCGACTAGAATCCACCCTATATATCGACGTTAATGTGATCATTAACAGAGAGAGAGAGGTATCTCTGAAGCGCCTTTAACCCTTTCAGACCTGAAGTAAGGCCTTTGTCGGAATTATAAACTTTTTTGTATAGTTCAGCTATTTTCCTGTTCTACTTTGATTTGTTACGTTGTACATATCATTTTTATATTTCGGACACATTCACCTTGCCATGCTATATAACATATTCCCAGGGTGCCCAACATGTTTCCGCACACAATTTAAAAAAAAAAAATCACTGTTGCGATGTAATTAAAAATTGGTTAGCACAATGAAAGCTTTTCCTCTGCTGATTCCTAGACAGAGCGCTTGACATTTGTTCAAATGTGCAGGCGTAAAACTGACTGCGTGCATGTTTGTGCATTTTTAACCCTCAAGCGTACTTGTGTCACCTTCTTCACAATGCATTTATTCCCTTCGCAGGCGATTTGATGATCATCATGGAGTATTGCCTTGGAAACCTGAGGGATTACCTGAAGATGCACCAAAAATTATTCAACCCGAACGATAAATATTATTTGGAATCACTCAGCGAGGGTCTTACAGAGCCATATTGCTCTTGTGATCTGGAGTACTTGACCTTCCAGGTCTCTAAAGGCATGGAGTACTTGGAGTCCAGAAAAGTAGGCCACTTGCAAGAAACCTCTATGAGGCAAAATCCTGAGTAAACGGATGACTTCCATATGTACGATGTTGCAGATCGTGCATCGAGATCTGGCTGCTAGAAATGTACTGCTCAGCAAAAACTTCATTGCGAAGATAAGTGACTTCGGCCTTTCCAGGAACACGTATGCAAAGAATGAATACATCGGGAAATTTGTGAGTGTTTCCTTTTCACCAGGCTCTTTTCAGGAATGTACCTGAATAATGAGTAAATTAAAGAAAACGCTCCACCATTTTCTAAGAGGGGAAAACGCTTTCAATAATACAGCTAAAAAAATAAAAATTAAATACGTTATCGATATTGCGAAGTCATGAGGTGTTGAACTACATGTTAGTTTTTTTTCCCAGAAACCATGCCGAAGTTATACTATGTCCGTTTACAGGTAAATTGAAGGTGCTTAGAAGTAGATCATTGCACCTTTAGTGACATATTTTTTTGGAGACAGGCTCATGTAAGTTTAAACGACTTAAAAAGTATGTTTTTTTTACTACATAAAAAGTGGCGTAGCACAAAGACAGGAGCCCTCCGGTCAGCAGCAGCACCCTCTATCGACATGCAATGTCCTCTTGCGGATGTAAAAAAGGAGATTCATGAAGCTCTCTACCAAGCAACAGCTACATGGAGTTGTCGGTTGAAAAGTTAGAGCCAATCAAAACAAGGGGTGACATTATGAAAGCAGCATATTCAGAAAGGAATTCGTCAAATATAATGTGATCCAGGCCCTTAAGCCGAATTCAGGGATTCATATATCAATTTCAAATTTTATTCTTTGTAGGGTGAGATAATTTAACTGTTGCTCAAATTTGAAGGAATTGAAAAAGTTTGGTTAGTTTAGGTTAGGTTTCGATGAAATTATGCTGCATTTGAATGAAAAAATTTTTCATCTGAACACATGGACGATTTGCCAAAAAAATAAACTGGACAGTTTTCAAAGATAAACAATACTGCGCTCAGCTTCCTTTTCAATTCGCCTTGCGGCTTTTAAAAGAGGAATACATTGGCTTTACAACGTTGCATTCACATTTGAAATATTTTCAACGGTTTCATAAATTTGGGAGCTCATATAAACACCTGCAAAAAATTCGTTGCCACAGGAGCGGACAGGGATGAAAAGGCGGCGGCCTTCATGACAGGTCACATGCCGTCTCGCGGCAACTCAGTTTTTTGTTGGCTGTTCGTATGAGCTCCCAAAATTTTGAAAGTGCTTAATATATTTAAAGAAGAAACTCCGAATTTTAGAGCTATTTCATTCTTCTTTCAAAAGCCGCATACAGCATTAAAATGTGTTCAGTGGGTGACTTGTGCTGTATATTTGAAAACTGTCCGTTCTGTTCTTTCAAGAGCTTTGTGAGAAGAAAAGTGTGTACTAACGAGAAGGAAAAAAAATACAATTCAATTGTATTTTAAAATCTTGCAATGTATCGTTCCATCATTTACTATTATATCTTGAATCATTAATTCAAACCTTTTCCCTTAGATGTTGCCATTTCCAGCTGAGGCTCACCGATTACTTACAACATGATGTTCTTTCTAAGCCTTTGGAAGTGCGGAACGCATTTATTTAAAGTCCCATTTGAAAATGATATGATCATTTAACCAAACCTAACGTAACCTTATCTCAACCTAACCCTAACCTAACCATTTCAAATTTCTCGGATTTCAACAGAAGTAATATTTACATGATTGGCGAAATATTGTCTCGAAAAATTGCACATATCTTTGGAATCGGATTGATAATCGAAATTGAGCAAATTCGTTAAGCAGCTGGGGTTTGGGGGCCAATTTGTGACCCCACTCACCAACCCCCAACACAATCAAATTGAAACTCACTTTTCTTGGCCTTTGTTCAAAGTACAGACATGTGTTTTTGTCTTCGGGCTATTCCCAAAATAATCCGACCGTTTGCAAAATTTAATTGAATTCTGAGATGCTTATGCACAGGTCATGGCCTCACCCAAAGTTGCAGAATACAAGGAACTTTTCAACTGAAAGTTTTCCAGAGACAGTTGGATCCACCTGATACATGACAGAGAGGTTCACGAGTCTAAGTTTTTTCACTTCTGCAAGATGGCGCTGTATCCTGATAGAGGGCGCTGTTGTTGACCGGGTGACTGAAGGTGATTAGAAAATAGTTCTACTGTTTCCTTAGGGGAGAAAGAATGATTTGTGTATTCGAGGAAAATATAGACGATTGATAAACTTTTAATATTTGACGTGTAGGAGATGTTGAGAGGATTGTCTGCGTTTTTCTCGGAACAATTCTTTGAACTGTACTTACTTCTGTATTTACTTTTTCCCGTTAGGTCAGGCGTGGATGTTCGGAACATCGCATCCATACAATAGTTTCCTGTTAGTGTTTCATGTCATGGCCGATTAATTCGAGTTCTCATGATTGATGAAATCAAAATAATTACGTAAGTCCTTTGTTTCATACGTCGCGCAAATGGGCCGCTTATCCCATCAAAATGGTGGCGATTTTTGCGAGGTGAGGTTGAACGTGAAAGAAAAATGTTTAAAGACGTCCCACAGGATGGCGATGAGGCAGTCGCTGCAGATAATAAACGGTTGGTGCTGGCTCGGAAAAAATCGTTTGCCACTGCAATTGCAGTACGAAGTGCCTAAATCGGTGCTAGCCGTAATGGCTGGAATCGGTGATGAACAGCAAGTACATGTACGTAGGGAGCTCAGGGCCGCTCAGACCGCTGAACAGCAAGTGGCAGCGAGTGCTGAGCTCCGGAATAGGAGAGCCGTGCAGCCAGCTATGCATCTCGATGTAAGGTTTGCATTTTCAGGAATTAGTCTTNATGCATCTCGATGTAAGGTTTGCATTTTCAGGAAATAGTCTTTAGCATTGTGCTACACATGCAATAACATCCCTCTGTGCCGTCGAACAAGTTCTTGGAAACGGTCCGTACTGTTTCAGAATCATTGGTGTCTGTACCATACGCTAACGCTAATGGCCGATTAGCTAATCGGTGATGCAAGAGTGTTGAGTGTGCTAGGAAGACGAAATCAGCAATGTCGTTTTGAGTCTCATAAAAATGTGCTAAACCAAGGCGTTCACAATGGTGATTGTGACAATCAGCTCGAATATCATTATGATGGTGCTTAGGAGCAGAATCTGCCTGTGTATTGTAAGCTATATTTGTATAAATGTAATCAAACGGTTCAGTTCTAAATGGGTAATGCAATGAACAGAGGATTGTGAAGAAGAAGTTATGCTCAAAATAGACAATTCAAATTTCCACATACTAGACGGCCAGCGTAGGGGCCGCAGGCCGCTAGTTCACCTCTAAATGGGCATTGCATTATTTAGGCAGGGGTGCTGAGAAAAAGCTGGCATGCATTTCAGCACCTTGTAACTGTCAAATTTCGATTGCTTATCCTCTGTAATTTTTTTGCTCAATTTATGAAACTGTTTTCTCCCATGGAAAACGGTAGAGCGTTTTTTTAAAACCATCCTTTATATTACTAGGATCCACTGCTCATAATTGTACTTCTGTGCTGTGTGTCTCAGAATTTCTCACTCGCCGATGAGATTCAAGAGGAACTGAGTATTAACGCATAGCATGAGTCTCACTGAGGTGTTACTACTGTTGGGTTCAGCTTAGGAACATACGGCAAATTTACTTTCGCGAAGGTCGGAGTACGTACATGGCGTGTGTGTCTCTGTGGTATGGGATCCGGTTTTTGGAACTGAGTCGCGTCAGAACATTTCATTCCTACGCGCAGATGCGAAAGCCAAGCATGCGTTATGTATCCCCATTTGTAAAAAGAGAGTCAAATTGGGTCTCCCAAGGTTATTTCATTTGATCCAAGATGAAGTTACCTTGGTGCGGGGCTTGTGGAGGAGTGTTCTCTGGAACTTCAGAGAGAAAGCGCAGACGAAGCCTAGTACGAATTCATGCATGTCGGAATAAATAACCCAATGGTCATGAGTTGTCCTCTCTTCTGTCTTTTTTATTTTTCATATCATTGATTCGATTATTTTTCCAAACGTCTTAACGCGTGAGGACCAGTAGTCACTAAGATGAATAATTTTTAGCGGAAAATGTTTGGAAGTGCGCTCTTTCAATTCTTTGCATATGGCACTCCGAATTTGAAGAAAAAATGTAAGGACCAAGTAAGGAGTGCTTCCTCTATCCACCATATCCTGAGATGGGAAGTGCAAAACGATGTTTTTCAAGCATTTCAGCTATGTAATGTCTCTTGATTTGATTGGAAATCGGATAGTTTTTGCTGAGTTGCAGAACATCCACATTTTCAGGGTTACATCCCATACAAATGGATGGCGTTGGAATCGCTTTTCGATGGTATCTTTACCAGCAAGTCGGACGTTTGGGCATTTGGCGTATTGGTGTGGGAAACGTTCAGCCTCGGGGAGACTCCGTATGGAGACGCAGGTGTCGAGGTCCTCGACCGCATTAAAAAAGGGTACCGTTTAGAGGCTCCCAAACACGCAGAAGAGAAGCAGTGGGTTCAAACATCTCGCCCTTACAAGCTCGGGTCAGGTCATAAACCAATGGCATTCCGTCTTCTTTCATTGTCTCCTTACAGCTACAAAACCATGGAGAAGTGCTGGTACTTGGATCCAAGAGAGCGGCCGACATTCTTCGATTTGAGTCGGTTGCTCCAACCCATGTTGTCCAAGTCTCAACGAATGGTGACTCGATAATACCACTCATCTCATTTCACTTTCTTTAGTTAGACCAAATTCTATTTAAAGAAAATTTCCAACGCGCATCTCTTCTTGCAGCACTATGCAGAGCAATACGGCCCCTTCAGCTATGCGAATGAGGAGTTCTTTCAGGTGAATCACGACCTTTTGGAGATGACGACAACCGTCGAACCTGAAGATGAAAACGTCCCACAACTCAGGATAGCCGATCCCTTGGAGCAGAACGTAGAGCCTGATCCGTTCCATGTCGCTGTTTCTGACTCAGATAACCCTTCTCCTATCAATTGTCAAAATCAAGAAAATGTGGCCGACCCTAGAGCTCAAGTTGATCTTCAGCAGTGGAACAGAGTTGAGGAAGCTCCATCCTCAGATATGGCGAATCATGGAGAGACTAGACTCACTGATCCAGACGAGGAGTTGAAAAAGCACATCCAGTACAAACAGTGGTGTGCAGAACCAAAAAATGAGTGAAACTGAGATCGAAGATTGTGTCGAATGCTCCGTGTCCCTGCGTTACTCGCGGCGGCAACATTCAAGAGACTTTAGTGAATTTAAAGGATGTTTACCCTGAAAAAGACTGTCCCAAAGGATTCACATAGGAATGTATAGGAATCCTATCGAAATCCTGTAGGATTCTAATGAGATTCCTATATGATTTTAACTAGGGCTGTCACGATAGGTCGATGCATCGATATCGCTATCGATAGTTTTTTCTACCATCGCGATGCATCGGCAAAAGATTTTAAAGGAGAAATGTCCCATTGGATCGAGGCGAGTACAATTCAATACAGTCCGTCCCGGCGGG